CCTAAAGATGTTCAGCAGGCAGAGAAAGTAATTACTGCAGTCCCTGTGCCCCTGGGCTGACCTAACCAGTAGTCATTCATTCCCAGAAATTTTGGGAAGAGTCTTATATGATCCCTATATGTGCCAGGCAAGCAGAACCTTTCTGGAGGCTGAGTTTCCCAGAGGGCTCCACCAATCTCTTTGGTTGTACCTGCTCACAGCTGCTCTTTTATTTGCTCTTCTAGCAGCTGCCAGTGATTTATTTTCATGACAAATATAATAAAAAATGTAAACTGAGGTGCACTGTTTTTTCCTAGAAGATTCACAGTGATACATCTCTGATTCTTTGCAAGGGCATCACAACACACTGGGAACCCAGGCAGGTCCTGCAGTCCCCCTGTTCTTTCAGATCTTTCACGTCAGAAGAGCTCAGGTGTCGTTGTGTGTGGGATGTGCTGTGGTGAAGGCTGTGCAGCAGGAATTATGCTGGGGCTGCTGGTGTTGTGGATAACTTGCCAGCCGGCTTCCATCCTATTTTGAATGCATCTGTAAGAATAATATATAAAATGTCAGCAGGCAGCAGTTTCCCTTTGGAGGGCATTCTTTCTGGGATGTTGCAGCGCAAGTGCTGACCCCTTGAGAGGGCTGATGAGCATTAGAAGAGGGATGGATCTGTTGGTTCTGTTGTGTTGCACTGGACTGGGCACCATGCACCATCCCCTGGGGCTCCTCAGCTCTCGCTCTGGAAGTGCCTGAGTGAGCATTTCTCAGCCTGTGCTGTGTCAGCGTTAACGTGCCCTACCTCCAGGTGACTGTGCCTTGCAGAGTTTTACCAAAACTTTTATCAAATTATTCCAGCTCTGAAATCATCCTCTGCTCTTGCCTTGCTCTTTAGTGTGGAAGGATTTTTCATAGGAATGTAAAAACAAGGGTACTGAATAGATCAAACAATGCTCAGCCCAGCAGCCAGCTCCCAATGACTGCTGTTAGCACGTCCTGGGATGGAGCAAGAGTGGAAATTACAGGTTACAGACCCGATGTACTCTAAGTCAGAAGTTTCATTATTGTTTTAAAGAGCTGCTGATGGCCTTTTCTGCCTCGAAGGGTCCTCTCCTCTTGGACACTTTTTATTACTTTCAGCCCTCACCACTTCCCCTGCCTGTGAGCCCAGCAGCTGCCATGATGTGAGAAGAAGTGCTGCTTGCCCTCACATATCCTGCACAACCCTTTCACTGCCTTCCCCTGAGTATTTTGTTATAAGGAACAGTGATTCATCAATCTCCATACTAAAGCTATGTAGCAGTAGCAGTAGCTATGACTGTATGTACCTCAATGATACCTGACACGAGAGATTGTCTCTTTTCCATCTCCCTGGTGGTTCCCAGAAAATAAACCTGTTGCATCTTTGAGGCAGTACTGACAGTACAAGAATAAATCATGGAATGTGCCTGAGAGGGTTACTGAGCAGCAGCTGCCTCTAAGTCCTTACCACAGCAAACGGATTCAAGCCCTGGAAAAGGCTGCCCAGGGCAGTGGTGGAGTCCCCATCCCTGGAGGGATTTAAAAGATTTGGCACTTGGGAATATGGTTTGGCAGTGCTGAGTTAATGGTTGGACTCAATGATCTTAGAGGTCTTTTCCAACTGAAATGATTCAGTGATTCTAAGAAAGGCTGCTCTAAACATCCTATTTTGGTAATGTGGTAAAATGCCTGTATTGATTGAAACAGCAAAGCAGAGAAGAAAGACCCATGGGGGAAGAGTGGGACTGAGATGCATTAGCAGCATTGCTGTGGGAAAACATTGTCCTTGAGACACCTAAAATACACATTTCCAGTCTGCCTGGGCACATTTAGAGAGAAACACTTTTCCTCAACCACACACCGAGTACCAGACATTCTGCTGGTGCTCCTGTGAGGAAACCATCTGTGCTCAGCAGCCAGAGCTGTCTGCTCCCTGTTCCTCGAAGGACCAGGGGTCCCTTGAACGCCTACCAAAGCACCTGCCATCTGAAACAAGGACCTTGTGTGGCCTGGAGAACACTCAGATGTCTTGTCAGCCCTAAATATAAAGAGATATTTTATCAGATAGGAGAGGGAAGAAGCCACCTTCCCGAATGCTGAGGTTTCACCTCTCTGGGATCCAGGATGAGTCAGCCAGGCACTGCTGAGTTCCACAGACCTGTTCAGGTTAATAAAATCACTGCCAGAGCCCAGGCAGCTCAGAGAATGCTGTGTGGCTTCCACATTGACGTCACTGCTTCTCATTTACCCTTGGGTGAGAGTGACCGAAATCCATTACTACCTGGCAGCCACTGGGTAAAGCCCTGCAAAATAAATCAGCGTTCTGCACAGCAAACAGGTGTCTGCAGCACAAAAGGAGCCATTCAGATCAGCAGGGCACCAAGGGATTTTTTCATCAGGGGAGTGAAGACATGAATGGGTCATTAGAATGAGGGCAATTCACAGGCAGAGAGTGATAACAGGGAAAAGCGGGGGAGATTTCACTGTAGAGACAGTGGAGAAGTGGTTGGGGTGTGGGGGGCAAGAAGAAGCCACCACGGAGACAAGGAGGAGTTAAGTGAGCAATTCGGATTTATTATAGGAAAACAGGGACACTGAACAAAACTGGAAAATACATTTAGAAGTGTGAAAGAGGAGATAACCTTTCCCAGTGGAAGTGACTTTTGGCACTGTGAATCCCAGTGGTCAGGAGTGTTGTGGGGCTGGAGGAAGGCACGGGCACCTGCATCAGGAGGGAAAGGCCCAGGTAAGTTCAGGAGAACACAGTCCCTGGAATTCCTGCCTCCCTGGAGGGTACAGAGACTTCCAGGCAGGACCCAGGCATCGGCTCATGAATTCAGAGACAAGAATTCTCCTCTGGGGTATTTTAAAATATGGATATCTTGCATCTTTGACTGCATCACTTGATCCTGTCCATTTTCAGAGCCAGGCCACCACAGGGAATGGAGCTGGTCTGGCACCTCCATGGTCCTTTCATTGTAGTTTATTCAGGGCAGGCTTAAATATACAGGTCAGGGCAATGTAGGGGGTACAATACCGTGTTAACACTTGGTCTGGGGATGGAGAACTTCTTTTTACAGACATTCAGAGTGCATTTAGAATGAGCTTTTGATGCTCCTCAGTCTGCCACATTTTGCCAGCCCTAAAAATATGCTTTGAAAGAGAAAATAAAACCTCTACAGGCTTTTCTCCACAGCTACTAAAAGATCAGGCTGTAGGTACACTCCTATATCACCTGCAAAAATGCAGATGTTCTCATCTCTAGCACACATAAAAGCCATAAATCTGGGTAGTTGTAATGTCTTGTTCGTTCATATAAAGAGATACAAATTGTGGATGGCAGTGCCTGGTAAGGAGAAATCTTTCACTTCCCAGGCAGATCATTGTTAACATTAAATGCTATTGAGCTACCATTACAAGGGTTAGGTTGAATGTCTATTTTCTTGTCTCTATCTTTTTTGCCAACAAAAGGCCCCCTGGAAGGCAGCAGGATATTATATAGAACTTGGATTTCCTTAAACATCCTTCCTTTTTCAGTAGTAGTAATAATAATAATAATAATGATAATGATGATGATGATGATGATGATGATGATGATAATAATAATAATAATAATAATAAAAAAAAGCTTCCAGTCATCAGAAGCCTGAGTTCCTTTAAATTAAAAATTCTCTTGCAGGGACACTGCTGTGTTCAGTCTGGGCTTTGCTAAGAAGACAAACCTGCTGTGCCAGGTGCTGGGGCACAAGTAGCTGGGCATGGGCTCCTCTGGCACCAGGAGATGGTGCACATCCCCTCTCCCCTGCCATCGGGGAAGGGTTCATCTCTGATGTCATTACAGCCTTTTGGATCTTTGTTGTATGTTTTTTGCCTCCTACCTGTTGCCTGGTCTGATGTGTTTTCTCTTAGATCTTGGGGAGAAAGGTCTCCTTTGTGCATACAGATCCAGTGCTCAGAACAACAGAATGCTCAAGCTTTACTGGAGTCTTTCAATGCTAACAGAATAAAAGTATACAATTTATTTATCAAAGTCTCCTTTCAAGGAGAAGATGGATGAAATAGGTTTTAACCTACTTGTGATGCTCAGGAAAAGCAAACACTTTGATTCTCTCCTTCCCAGACAAACAGCATTACATTCGTTGTTTCTGATTTTATGAGCTATAAACCACTCTCTATTTTTATTTTCACATGCCATTGACTTTGTTTGGTACAGACACAGCTGAACAAGGCTGGTTTTTCAAGTGCAAATCATGTTAATAGATGCCCAGTTCTTTCCACTCCACACACAGGAGCACCGCTGTAAGAAAGATGACCGATGCCAAAAAATATATTTTCCTGTTTCATTTCCTAAATCACCTCTGAGGCCACATTATCCCTTCTGAATTCCCAAATGTGGAATGGTGATGGTTGCTTTAGTACTTCTGGCATGGTCTCTTCACATAAGGAGAATTTATTTGCATGGAGAAGTGAAACAATACAAGCAGACAATGAAATCTCAAGTGGTAAAGTGTGTGAAATTCTCCATTTACTATTATTTTTATGATGCTGTTTCCAGCTTTTCTTCACTGCTTGCAACTACAACTGATGGATCTGGAGCACAGAGTGCCTCTTATCGCTGCTCTTCATCAGCAAGTGTGAGCAGCAGCAAGCAGTCAAATCGTTGCTGTATCCAAACAGCATCTCTGCATCCAGGGATGGAGCTGCAGGGAGAGCTCACTCGTTGGGAACTTGATCTATCTAATTATGTGACTGTTGACTGGGCAACAGGCTGCACATCCAGTTGTCCCCAGTAAAAATAATTTGTCTTAAAATTTCATCTGAGTTAAAATACATCAGCTTTTTATCTTGTTACCTGTTTTGTTCCCTGTCACGGCATTTTTGAACTGGTATCAAGAGTTATTAGAAGAAAGCTCTTTTCCATCATTAAAATACCGTGTTCAGAAAGATCACCAGAGTCCTTAAATGCTGATGAGGGTATGAGTGGCACTCCCTGAGCAGAATTACAAGGAAGTGTTCTCAGTGGAGACAGTATTCAGAGGTGGATGCTGGCAGGAGTTCAAGTGTCCACACTTGTTCTTATGGCCATGACTTCCCTGACATCTCCTGTCCATGCAGGGAGTGGTGGAGGGTCCTTTCCTTGCAAGCTCCACTGAACTCTGGTAAGAGAGCAGCTCTGGGACTGAGGAATGAGTTGTCCGTTCAGACAGAGAGAAGTTAAAGAGAGAGACCATCCTTTGGTGGTATTTGCTCTTCATTTCCTTGGCTGATCTGTAGAGGTTCCCAACAAAGCAATAGCATATAGGGTTGAGGCTGGAATTGGTGAGACCAAGCCACTGGGCAAAAGGTCTGAGCTGCAGGATCCAAGGAGAAGGAGTCACATCCTGCAAAGATTTGGGAATGTTGAAATCAATCCAGATATCCATCAGGTAGACAGGCAGCCAAGAGACAGCGAACAGCAGGACCAGGGCCACCACCATCTGTGCCACTTTCCTGCGGATCTTCAGCCGGGAGGCCGGCAGGGATCGGTTCAGGGCAGAGCTCTCCTTCAGCTGGCTGCTGCGGCTCCACAGCCGGCGCACCGTGAGGAAGCAGATGACCATGTTGAATAGGACGGGCAGGCAGTACAGGGCACAGAAGAGCAGGAAATTGTAGGCTTGCTTGAGCCTCTCCTGAGGCCAAATCTCCCTGCAGATGGAAAACACCAGGGGCAAGCCCTCCACCACCCCGATCTCATCCCGTTTGTTCATGAAGATGAGCGGCATGCATATCCCTGAGGACAACAACCACACCAACAGGATGGTGCTGAGGATCCTCTTCTGGGTGAAGAAAGAGCGGGCGTTGAGCGGGTTGTGCACGCTGTAGTACCGGTTCACGCTGATGACCGTCAGGCTGAGGACGCTGGCAGAGACAGAAACAGCCTGGATGAAGGGCACTGCCCGGCAGAGGAAGTCCCCGTACACCCAGGCTTTGTAGATGAGGTTGCCCACGGTGATGGGCATGCAGATGCACACCACCATGAGGTCACACACCGCCAGGTTGATGAGGAGGCTGCGGGTGGCGCTCAGGCTGGACACCCGACTCCGGCGCTTGCGGGTCAGCACCCTGATGGACATGATGTTGCCCACAAAGCCCACCACGAAGGACACCAAGTACATCACTGTGAGGCTGATGGTGACAGGCTCCTTTGCAAAGAGGAAGAGCATCTTCTCCAGCTCTTCCCACCCCAGCTCCTGGCTGCCATTCCAGAGCCCACCTTGGGTCTGGTTCTCCTCCTGCCAGAGCTGCAGAGGGTCAGGGGGAGCCCCGGGTTCTGGGGGGGACGAATCCATGGCTGAGTCCCCCCCAAGGCAACCTGGGCTAACGGGGCAGAGCCTTCTGCGCTGCTTCCAGTGCTCCAGACATGGCTGGGATCAGCCCTGCCTGCAAGAGAGGGTGAGGAGAAGGGGGGTCAGCGGGGGCTCGGGGCAGCGATGGCCCTTCACGGGGAGCTGCCGGGCCAGCAGTGGCTTATCCTCAACTTAGTTGAGAAGCGGCCGTAGCGCAGGGCGGCCGCGCTGGGCAGCGTCCAGCGCGCTGGGCAGCGTCCAGCGGACCGGCACCGGTCCGGCAGCAGCGGCGGGACCTGCGGGAGCCCCTGCCCGGCCGCGGAGAGACGGCGCCTCGCTGGGAGGACCGGGAAGGAGCCCCGGTTTCCCCGCAGCCCGAAGAGCAGCCCCGGCCACGGTCTGCAGCCGCTCCCCCGCTCCCTCCATCCCTCACTCCCTCCTTCCCCAGAAAGTTGCGTGTCCCGCGGCCGCGCTGCCGGACCTCTGCCCCGGGCTGCCCCCGGTCCCCCCCGGTCCCCCTCGGTTCCCCCCAGTCCTCCCCGGTTCCCTCCGGTTCCCCGTCTCTCCCGCAGCACTCACCGGGCGGAGGGCGGGCAGCGCCGGCCGGGCTCCTCCCGCCGGCGGCTCTGCCGTGGATGTGTGCGTGTGTCCGTGTGTCCCCGTGTCCGTGCGTCCCGGTGTCCGTGTGTCCCCGTGTCCGTGTGTCCGTGCGTGTGTGCGGCGGCAGCGCCCGACCCGCTGCCACACGCGCGTGCTCGCACCCACGCACCCACCGCACCTCCAGCCCCGCGCACAGCCCGCGGCGCGCACACGCTGTACACCCCGCACACCCCTGCACACACCCCGCACACTCCTGCACACACCCCGCACACCCCTGCACACACCCCGCACACCCCTGCACACACCCCGCACACCCCTGCACACAGCCCCGCACAGAGCCCTGAACACAGCTCCGCACACAGCCCCGCACACCTCACACACAGCCCCGCACACAGCCCCGCACACAGCCCCGCACACCTCACACACAGCCCCGCACACAGCCCCGCACACAGCCCCGCACACCTCACACACAGCCCCGCACACATCACACACAGCCCCGCACACCTCACACACAGCCCCGCACACAGCCCCGCACACGCACAAAGCCACACGCACACAGTCCTGTTCTGCGGCACCAGCGCACGCACACGCCGACCCCGACAGACCCTACACGCATCCCTGAGCACTTCTGCAGACCCGCACACGCTGTGCACGCTCCCTTTGCACACGCTCGGCTGCACACACCTTCCTGCAGGTGTCCTGCACACCCACAGCACCCACCCCCGCACCTCTGCGTGTCCCCGCACCCCCAGAACCCTCACACGCAGGTGCGGCTCAGCCCCCGCAGCCCCTCGGCACCCCAAGAACACACACACACGCACACCCCAACACGCACACTCCAACACACGCACCCCAACACACACCCCAACACGCACACCCCAACACACACACACCCCCCAACACGCACACCCCACTCTGCCCCCGCTCTCCGCCGGCAGCGCTGCCCGGGCCCGGCCCGGGACAGGCTAAACCGAACCGAACCGAACCGAGCCGTGCCAGCCGCCCCTCCCGCCTGGAGCCAGGAGCCCGGCCCGGCCGTGGTGCTGAAGGGACAGCTCCAGCCGGGCCGGCCACGGACCAGGCAGGGCCCGGGCGGGGCTGGTACAGTCGTGGATTATTCCTGATTATCGCCTCCTCCTCCTCTCCTGGGGTCCCCGGGTGCAGCTGTAGCAGAGCGGGGAGCAGCCCGGGAGCTTCGCTTCTACTCTAACACCCCCCACCATCCTGAGTTTCTGGCGGATTCCGGCCCGCCAAGGGTTAACGACACCGCAGGTGTGATTGGAACTCGCCCGGTCGAGGAGCGCTAAAGAAACACAACTTCTGGTGTTTTCTATTAAATTGAAGGAATGGGGAAAAGGAGGGTTTATTGGAAAAGTCTCTTGAAAAGTTGGAGTGCTTGTTTGAGGACTAAGGTTGGTTTGTAAAATGGAACTTTTGACTGGAGGTGCTCAGAGGATATCACAGGAGAAAATGTTTGATGAGAGGAATTCATACCTCTGCCTGAAATGTTTAGTTTTTATTCTCTTTCTTTACATCCTGTGAGGGAGAGCAAAGTAACAAATACAGCCCAGCGGAGGCTGTTTGCCACTGAATGGTGAATACCCTTGATTTCACTGGGAAATTCCCCATCCTTTTTATTCTATGCATGTGAAAGAATAAAGTAAACATTTTTGGTCAGCCTTATGTGAAATGAAAGGAAGATCAGTGGTGGAGCTACACTGGGGAGGTGGCAGGCGGATGTGATCAGCCTGCAAACCTCTCCTGCGTGAGAATGCATTTGCTCTAAGCGTGTAACTGCTCATTCTCCTACAGTCCTGTGTATGTGTATTTCACAGACAAACAACTTCCACAAAGTAATTGCAGAGTGTTGCCCAGAGCACAAGGTACACATTATTCCACACAGTGAAATGCATGGATACTCCCATGGATACATAAAATCTGCTGCAGTTTCACAGCTGCTCCATAAGCAAATATAGATCTGTTGCAATGAGGCAGCTACAGAGAGCAGCCTCGGAGCTGGCAACTGGAAATCTCCATGTGCCCGAGCCCCTGCCAGCCTCTGCCAGCCTCCCTACAGCAGACCTGCCATTACACATGGAAAACACAGGATGGAGGTGTTTAAGTCAACATTTTTAGTAGGGTTTTAACAGAATGCAGAGAGAGCAGAAATGTGCCAGGGCTTGTTTTGTTCAGGTAGTTGTCATCCAAGTGATCAAGCTAATAAATACATTTAATACATTTGTCTCCTCAGTGTACTTTATTTGTAACTTGAATGATTTACTGCTGAGGAACCTTTAGGACTTCAAGACTAAATTACTAAGTTAATCAATGGTTCGATATAATTAGAATGAATCTGCTTTTGCATCCATTGGCACAACTGCCAAGTCATCTCTAGCAGCAAATGACGAATCCATACACTGTCTGCAGCTGACAGAGAGCACAGGGCATTGATTATAATGAGTTCATTGATTCTAACAAGTTCAAAGTCGCCAGATAATTCAAGATGGGGAATCTCCAACTGAAAGAAACACCGTACCCTTTTCATGTTGGTTTGCCTCTTACGGAACAGCTTTGAAGTGGAAGCTAAACAAAGTCCACTGGAGATAAGAGCCATCCTTCAGCAGCAAGGGCAATGGGCAATGTGATCATACAGCAAAGCACATCAGAAATAACCCACTGGTCTCACTGGAGTTACAGCTGTGAACAACTGACCTGAGAGCAGTGAGTCAGCCACTTTGGGGCTTTGCCAGAATCTCAAAAAACCTCACATTTCCCATGCCAGCTACATGTGCCCAAACCTGCCCTGCCCACTGCGCATCAGAGTCCCGGGCCAGGGTAAATTTAGCTTTGCTGCCTCAGCACAACCTCCCTGCTCCCACTGCAGCAGGAGCTGGGTATCACACAGAGCCGCAGCGATGCTCTGCCTGTCCCAACAATGGCTGTAAATTCAGGAAACCCTGAGGATTTTCCAGCTTGTGCTGGACCTTGAGAGTGTGAAGCCAGAGCAAATCCTCTGGTTGTGCATCTACTTGCAGTAGCTCATGTGCTCTCCCTGCTCTAACTTTTCCCCCTGGAAATCCCTGCCAGGACTTGGGGGATACAGAGCCCTGTGTGGTTCCCAGTGCATCTGCATCCCTGACCTCTGTGTGATGCCTGGCACCCAACCAAAGGGCTCTTGGCTCTCTTGGCTTTCTCCCAGCGCACATCCTGACATGCCTGATGTGTCTCAGCTGGCACGGTTTGAGGTGAAGGCCTGTGGTGAGGATATAGCTGCTCTCTCCTCCTGTGCTTGCCCAGCACATAGGTGGGATGGTGTTTGCCCACTTCACAGAGGTGAAACAAAATTAGGGCTTGTCTCAGTCAAGCAGGGCTGGATTGGTGCTACAAGGACCGATTGGCAATGGTGCTGCTTGTGTTAGGTGAGCTAGGAGCTCATTCCAGGCTGTTGGGGGTGAGCACTGGCACTGGTGAAATTGTTTCCCCCTTGATTTTGCTGGGAGGTGCTGTTTAGACTGCCCTTGGAAAGCACTGGCTAAAACCCACTTCCATCACCACTTACTCCTTCTGCCTCTCACACTTTTTGATCGATGGCATGGACACAGGAGGAGCTCGGGGTAAGGGAGACTCCCCCAGCCCTCACATCTGCCCCAGTGCTGTGCACACTCCGTCTTGGGAAGTTGTGTGTGAGCATTTCTAACCACCACGAATACTGAAACCTGCCTCTCTTGCCATCAGGAGAGAGTAACAACATCACCATTAACTCATATTGCATAAAAAACCAAAAAATCTACTTTTCTCTGGGACATTTTCTTATAAATCCCTAACCCAGCAACAAAACTCCCCAAATCCTCTGTGCCACCGGCCCGGGGATCTCAGAGCTGGCTTTGCCGCTCCCTCTGCTGGTGACTGCTCCTTCCCCGTGCCAGTGCTGCTCTGGCACCGCGGTTTTGGGGGTGACACGAGCTAATTCTGGCCCCGTGGTCCAGGTCCTCATCCCAGTTCCCGTGTGACATTCACAGATGTCAGCGCTTTGATGCTGCTGTGAATCCAGGAGGAGATAAGAGGCCGGCACTGCTCACAATCAAAGGCAATACAAAGGAGATGCCAAGTGCACTTCAGATTCTTTGAAAATAAGATAGCAAAGGAAATAAAAAACATCTGGGAATTGATGTTTGTTGTTTGTAATTACTTCCATGAGAGTGAAAATCTTCGTTCTCCCACTAGTCTTCCCTCAATCAAAAAACGAAACATTTAAACTATCTCCAGCGTCCTTTGGAGGATTTTATAGGGAGAATGTGCATTTT